AAGATTACTGGGGGGACATAGTTTAAAAATTCCTGCCTGGCTCTCCACACTAAAAGCTCATTTCCCTGCTATCGTATAATTAAACAGTTGTAAGCTTGTAAATCTTGCTGCAGCGGCCAGGAGAGGGGTCAGAAACAACCTATCCTTAAAACATTTCAAAAGTTTTAAAATAGCTAAACAATCAGCACTGACAACTGCTGCTAACTCTCACTGCATCTCCTTTGCCGTAGGCATGGTGTGGTTTGTTTATTGATCTCTCTATTTTGCAGTGCTCTGGGCTTGCTGTACTTCATCCGCCGAGGAAAGCAGTGCCTGGATTTCACAGTCACAGTTCACTTCTTCCACCTTCTGGGCTGCTGGATTTATAACTCACACTTTCCCTCGACCCTGACGTGGTGGCTGGTGCACATCGTGTGCACTGCGCTGATGGCTGCAATCGGGGAGTACCTCTGCATGAGGATAGAACTCAGAGAAATCCCCCTCAACTCTGCCCCCAAATCCAACGTATAGACTCGCTCTGGTAACAACATGCTGCATTATGTCGTTGTTTCCAGCACAAGAGCATCTAATGCCTGAGAATCATCACTGAAGAAGCACAGCAGGTCTTTTTTTTTTTTTTTTTTTTTTAGACCTTGGTGACTGCATGAGTGTGAGCATCTCCTCTGGCACCAGCCAGCAACAGGGGAGGAGCAGATGTTTATTTTGTTAACACAAAGCATTTAATATGACTGTATGGTGAGCATGCTCTTAAACACTCATGAGACTGTTAAAAGCCAGGTAGCAAAACTTGATATGTGAGGAGCATCTGGAATTTAACAAACGTGAGAGTGCCCTGTATGGGTAATGCAGTGGTCAGCTCTTCTTGCAGGAGCTGGCACAGTGAGCAGTGGGGCTGGGAGCTGCTGCTTATGAGCTGTAACTTTTTGGGGCTTTGGTTGGAAAAGGAAGTCAAGGAGGTGAATGGACAGAAGGAAAATAGTTGTACTTACCTGAATCACCAGCTGAGACCCTAAATAACCTGTAACGTTAGATGGGTTTGTTTGCTGTTTCCATGTTTAATACATAGAGATGTCAGACAGCAGTTTGCTGAAGAAATCTTTTGTAATAATAAAAATGTTATGTTGCTGTGAGTGTGTTACGGTTCTCCTGGGAAGCTGAGTGCTTCAAGAAATACCATGAGTGTCTGTATCATGGCAACAGAAGGGTACAGCCAGAGTACACGTGGCTGTAAGACGCCCATAAAATTTTCTACAATAAATACTTCATACCTCTGCTCTGAAATGAAGGCATCAGTGAGTGCTGTCTTTGGGAAGTCAGCCAGCATAAACCTCACTTCAGGAGGAGCGTCAGCAACCCAGGGTCTCCACAGGTTCAGGTCGAGGCGGGAGCTGGCCTGGAGAAGCCTGCAAAGGTGTCCTGGAGCCATGCTGCTCTTCCCACTTGTCTGGGTCTTCCTGTCAGTTTTCAGAAGTCTAGCAACAGATCTGGTCTGGTAGAGGGGATGTTTAATTGAGAGACTCCTGCTTATTTCTCAAAATAACAAGATGTGCCTTTTTTCAGAGGCTCTTCAAATAAACATCACCCGTGGGCAGGCAGGGACAACACCTTACTGCTAAGGGGCCAAAGCCAAATGGCTCTTCAAATCCCACAGCCAAGGCAAGCAGACCTGCATCCTGCCTGGTTTCTGCTGAGGGGTGCCCAGTTTGTGTGAGCCCAAATGAGGGCAAATCCACTTCTAAAGGCAGATTTTTGTCCTGTGCAGCATCTTGCTGCAGTAACTTTCCTTTGTATGTTAATATTCATAAGAGTTGATTTGCATAAATTATTTGCTAATTCAGCTTGTTGAAAAGCAGTGGGATGATTTGAGATGCAGAAGTTGATAAAGTCTTTGAAGCTGCTCTTTTACTGGGGGAGCTGTATTTCAATTCCCACTCATATTCAGATACTGTAAATTGAGGCAGGATGACATCCTGATGTTTTAAATACTTGGCAGGTCTGCCACAGAGGAGGATTGCTGGTTGCATTTGTTTAGCCAGAGCTTTTTATATTCTGAGATTTTGCCAGGACCTCTTCCTGACAAAAAAAACAATTAAGCAGTTTCAAACAGCAGTAGTCTTTCTGAGGGAAGAGTTTACACAAGTTTTTTTCTGGGCAGGAGCCGATGCTTGCTGGAAGGCCACCCAGAGGTCACTTCCGAGGGTTTCCCCTGCAACTCTGCTCTGCAGTCAGCAAGAGAGTTCATCCCTTCTCAAAATCTCCTTGTTTCTCATATAATAAGTATACCTGCCTTTCTTCCAGTCACCTTCAGCCTAGATATAAACTGGTCTTCCAGCAGGTGCCAGTATCTCCCTCAGAAAAGAGCAGCCAGCGTGCTGCGACCAGGATCGGGGGCACAGCAGAAGGCACGCTGCCTCAGGGCTGACAAACACCGGCTTGGTGTCAGTTGTATTTTAAGACTTTCAGGGTCATTTTGTCCTCTTCTGTTTTTTGCTATTACTGAGAAAGAACATCCCAATCCTGTACAGGGAAAGTTTGCAGATTTAATTCAAGGCTTAACAGCCACACTGAAGCACAGTGCGAACTCCTGTGTTCTTCAGGGGTGGTCTTAAGGCAAATGTGAGCTAGAAGACTAATTACAGTGAATGTGAGAGAGCAGAGGGAAAGCCAGATTCATTCCATTTCTTAAAGGCGAATGGGCAGTTGATCCCAGTGTTGCTGTGAGATTGTATTATAGAGGTGCTATCTTTGTTCCCCTGTAAGAACAGAGATGAACACTTCAGATCAAGGAACACTTATCTCCTTATTTTCTGAATACATGAGACATGCTGCAGCTGCTTCAGCAGCCTCCCTTGCTGAGCAGGGTGAAGTCCAAGTACAGCTTTGTATCTAGAGACACTCAGAGCAGGGCCACAAGGAAAATCCTTGGCAAATGTATGGGACATCCAACAAGATGCACTGCATCAGTATGAAGCATGCTGCAGGATTAGAAACTCTTTCTGAAAGTCTGCTGACTTTGCCTTTGAGGAATGAATCTGTATATTACTTTTTTTCTTTTTTAAAGGAAATCTACTGTAATTGTCCTAGTCATAGGGGAAGTTCTGCTAAAAATGATTGATTGAGGAGGGAACCTCTGAAACTCATCACTCTCATACTGTGAGACCTAATTTTCACTCACATGCTTTCTGTCATATTTAGGAGCACCTTTGGCTTTAAAAAAAAAATCTGCTGCTTCATACTGGAATGATGGCAGATGGTCTTCGTTTCTTAATGAATCTTTGGGTTTTGTGTGCAGTAGAGTTGAGGGATTTGCTTCCAGGGAAGATATGCCTCAACACCTGCTCTTCTTAGAGACAGTGGTAGTGTCAGCTAACCATTTGCATCCATGGTTTTGCAAAAAGAATTCTTGGAGATCTCTGCTGATACTTTTGCATTTCCCTTCCCCAGAGCTGTTTAAAAGTAGGAAATTTCAACAGAGGGGAAGATGCTAAATCCAAAAAGAAGCTAAGCGTTGTGAGACTTAGGGTGATTGTGCTTATTTGTTTTCCTAAAGGCATTGAATGCTCATTGTAAACAAAGAGCAGGTATAGGATTTGGATCTAAAAGACTCCAGCCTTGGTGGTACACAATACCCACCTGCTTCATCTTTCCCCAGCTACAAACCACAGACAGGAGAAGAGATATCAGGGAGGGGGAACACGATCAAAGAGCATATGCTGCTGTTAGAGCAGAATCAGAAGAAAAACCAAAGCAGCTGAATGCTTCACTCCAGGTTCTGCAGTGCTCTGGTTTGCCCCTTCTCCACTGCTACTCTTAAGGCTTTGTGCCTGAGTAGCAACTCTGTTGCCTGTAGAAAGCCTAGGTGCCTCACACTGAAGTGCTGCCTGAACACCAGCTGTTCCTCCTTGACTTATTTCTTGGAATCTGCCTCAATTTATTTGTTCCCTCCTGCTGCTGCAAGGAGCAGAGTGTTAGGTGATAGGGAAGGTAAGAGGAAGAATGTGTGAATACCAAAGGAGAGCAGCGTGACCTGTCATTAAAAAGCCCAACACCAGTGTTGGTAAAAAGATCCTTTGCTGTAGGAGAAGCTTGCCCACATGCCTGTAATGCATCTAGTGGGATCTCTGGGGCTAACAGAGGCCCAGATCTCCTCCTCACACTGTAAAGCACATTTTCAGATTTGGGGAAACTGTTTCAGAACCTCCCGATCCATTTACTGGTGGTACCTGCTGCTGTGCCTCCTCCCACGGCAGGCAGTGCTCAGACCATCACTGCAAGGTCCTTGTTCAGCGTTTCTCAGCACTGTGAGGAGCCGTGAGCTTCCCCAGCTCTGCACCCAGCTGTCCTTTGCTGTTAGCAGCTGCCTCTCCCTACTGAAGACAAAGCAAGCGCCCTGATAAGGGGCCAACAAGCTGTGGAAACAGCCAAAGTGATCTGTGACAGAGCTAGGAAAGTCGGCTTGAAATACCTCATTAGTTGAGCACGGAAATTTCAGATCTGATGAAGGACAGGTGAGTCCCATTATTAGAACATGGAGTTTACCACCACATCCAGCTGTTGAGCTCTGGTTTAGAGTATGATGAAGACCAGCTCCTTCCCCATTCTAGAGTGGCTGCGCTGCACAGGGAACGCATTGGAAGCGGAAGAAAGTCCCGTCAAGGCTGACTGTGCTTCCCCTCAGCAAGGAGCTGCCTCACGAGTCTCCCAGGAACAGGTCACAGGCCCACACTGGGTCACCACTGCTCCTACGGCCCCGGCCAGCCAGGCAGGGCACAGAGCTTCATTAGCACCCTTAAAACACGAATTGCATCGTACTGCCCAGAAATACTGGTGAGTTTTTCTAACATACCCAGAAATCACTTGCAAGCACTTCTCTATTGCTAACACTCATGCTTGTACTGAAGCTGCAGAAGCAACAATGCTCTGAGCCACAAAGGGGACAAGAAGAGACTGTGCTATCAAACAGGAGGCGGGACAAATAACTTCTGTCATGCTGTAGGTTCTACAACAAACTTTAATACTCTGGAATTACACACTGCCACCCACAGAGCTGCTTACAGGTACCTTTGGAGAACGCTTTAAAGCATAAGAGTTGCTATAAATCCTTTTTGTCATGCTAGCTCAACAGTCCCTCTTCCCCTAAATATTTTTGCCCTCTATTTCTTTAGAAAAGGGATTTACACATAACATGGGAGTTACTCAGGATCCAGATGTGTGCAAGAGGTCATGCACCTGTGATTATTCTTCAGCAGGGGTTTCACCATGTCATTAAAGAAAAAAGGCCAGTACAGGGAAGTAAGGTCTCCTTTCTGCCTTTGACAGGACATATACCATCCCCTGACCCTTGTTTTCAGTGCCCAAATCAAAAATCTGTGGAGAGCTGATCTGGTGGAAAGAGTCAGCAAAGGAGACTTCCTTCCAGTAGCCATAGAAGAGTGCAAAGGAATCCAGCATTCATGATCAATTTATCATTTTTTCCCAAATCCTCTGCCCTGTATCTTCAAGTTCCCAAATTCTGCAGTCAGCCAGATCTATGCCCATGCCTTGAGGCAGAAGAGGACAGGCGTTATTCCAAATTACAGAGAAATAACAAAACTCAGAAAGTTCTGCTGAGCTCTTCCACGTCTCATAGGCAGAGGATGGAGCCAAGTGTTCACTGAGCACGCCACAGTGTATTTCTCAAAGGTTTGGAAACATTATCAGATGTCACGACACATGCAGCCACCACCTTTGTTGTGATACTTACAGAGCTGCAGTTTCTAAGTTCAGCCAAGTGACAATGAGGGGGATGCCGAGGATGGAAACATTGGGAATGTGCATCCAGGCAAAGCTTTGGGCTGTGCTGGGGCTACAGAGGTCGAACAAGCTGCCTTGAAATTTGATTTTTCGAGACTCCCTTCTCAGCATCTCCCAGACGGCTGCTGCTTCCTTCTGGCACTCCCAGAGCGCAGTCAGGGCACACGTGTGGAATTCATCCCAGTACCTGCAGCCAGAGGAGACATCACACATCAGACCCTTCACACAGCACCAAGGAGCTGGGCAGAGCCCTGCTGTCCTGAGCCTGCCCTCTGAGCAGCAACAACCTCAGCGTTTTGTCATCCCTTCCATTGTCTATCAAAGCATCTTGACTAAAACTCCAAACAAACATCAAAACACACTGAAATTATTTAATGCCTTTTTTTTTTTCCCCCTTTCTCTGGAAGTCAATAAAATCCATTATTTTCCATCAACAACTGTTTCCCTTCAGCACTGAGCACCCTGAGTGTCTAAACTAGACTGCAAACAAAGGCCCAGCACATTTCATTCATAGCTTTCTCCAAGCTGAGTCAAGGGCGAAATGCAAACACAAAGCAAGGTGAAGGACAACGGCTCCTGCAGACCATCACAGCTTTATAATTAAGGTATGGGCAGGGGCAGGAGGAGTTATTCCCTGTGTTCCCATTAAACACTTCTGCACATATCTGCTGGGTATTGCCCTGTGTGAGTAGAAGCCATTCAATGGAAAAAGGCTCTTGGGGAGCACCAGGGAAAAACAAGACAGGCAAAAGTAACTCACAGTCCTGTGGGAACAAACAAGGAGCTGCTTGCTGAAGACCCCTTGGCTGCCTCCCCTGGGGATGCCAACATGGATTTTTTTTTCAGATCCAGAGCTAGAACCAGGCAGGGAAAAACTCTGGCAGAAACAAGGCTGAAACCCACAGTGCCCGAGAAGACTCTTCCGGGAAGGCTGTGATGGACACCACCCCACCAGTCTGTCATGCTGGAGCCAGCACCACGCAGGATGGCCCCATGCTGCATTTATCCAGAGCAGTATCCAGCCTTCCAAGGCTTTTTCCCCTCCCTGAGCTCCCTCCTTGCCCCTGGTGAAGGAGTGTGGTGGCTCTGAAGAAGCTGGGTGCCCACAGGTGTCAAGCTGAGCAGGGAGGGGTGGGCTCCAGCTCTCCAGGGACCAGGACAGAGGTACCAGGCTGGGCCACGTTCCCCACCCAGCATAGAGAGGACAAGAATGGACATCGCTGTCTGATTCTTTTTTTCACTGCTGAGTACCTGAGGATAGTAGAGCATTAGACTCCATATCAACCTCCCCAAAGGCTGCTGTAGGTGCTGTGATGGGGAGGGCACTCACAGCCTGGCAGGTTGCTGCACACACACTAGTCCTGACACAGGTGAGGTCTCTGTTTTGTAGGTACAAACCCACAAAATAAAACAGCAGGAGCCTGAAAGCCTCAGCAAATGCTATGGGCCATCCTCTCCTCTGGAAGTGGCTCCTCTCCAAAACAAAATCTTCCCCAAGGGACAGATAAGTCTACATGTCACACTTGCCATTAACTTTCCACCCATGACTTCTTTCAGAGAGAGCTTCTTTTACCTGAAAAGAGCTTCACAAAAGTGTTTCATATTGCAGCTTCTTTGGAGCAATGAATGTCCTGGCACTGATGCTGGGGCAAGGCAGGTCCAGCTGTGGGCAGCATTCTGCTGGGTCCCAGCTGGCTCCCCAGCCTCTGGCAGCCCACAGCATCCCGAGGCACCCTCCTGCCCTCTCCTCCCCCCCAGCTTTGCTGTTCTGCATTAGCTGGGGCTGGGCACCACCTTCAGGTCAGAATTTACCTGCAAACCCGAGACTGCCAAGAGGACAGGATCAGTCACTCTGCCACCTCCCCCATCCCACCAGGGCACCAGGGACATGTGCCACCCCTTGGGATAGAGATGCAGCCCGGCTGGCTGAGCAGGGACCCTGCACGTGGGAAAGGGGCAGCTTGGTTTTGTCCAAGTGCCCTGTGCTGGAGATGACACCTTGTGCAGTCAGGCAGACCCCAGCACTTTACTTAGTTTTCCTACTGGGGCTTACGTCAGAACGCCAGCTGTGAGGGAGTTAATTAAACCAAGTCACTGTGGCAGAATAAATGTCCCCAGATAATGAGAAAAGCTGGTGCCAACCCAGATAACCTCCTGTGCTCGCTCCTGAGCTGCAGCAGCACCAGAAGGCAGCTCTGCCAGGTGAGAGTTAAACCTGGCCCATGTCTTCGGGCAAAGGATGGCTGGGGGAAGGCAGAGGGGGATGACAGCTCCTGCCTGGTTCTGCTTTCAGCCAGGATGGCAATTCCCAACGTTTCACCCTTCACAGCCTCCATCTGCTCAGCCAGGCAGGTTGCCATCAAGCGACGTGCCCATGCCGGCTCTGGGGCAGCACCATGCATGCTGAGTGAAGACACCACCAGCCCCATGCCGGCTCCCAGCTTTGTGTCTGTCTCTCACCCACACTCCGGGAGAGGGGACTACAGCACCAGGAAAGTAGATAGCAGTGGAGAAAGTTGAAGGTTAAAGGCCATTAATGCAGAAATATTTCCTGGCAGGAAGCTGGGGCATCATCAACCTCTTCCTCCAGCCATGGCAAGCCCAGCTAGCTGTGCTCCGGGACCAGCAGCAGAAGCTGGCATGGACCAGAAGGTGCAGAACCCCAGCCCTGCAGGCAGGGAAGATCCCAGGACCTGTCCAGTTAAGGTTAGTGCCCCAGAGCCTGTCAAAAAGCCTCAACTCACACATTTCATGGGAGCTTCATCAAAGAGATCACTCCTTCAGCAGTCAACCACAGCGTGTGCTGGGTTGCATGCTTGGTGGTTTTCTAATACCAAGAAGCCACATTTTAGAAAAAAAAAGTATATATTGCAGCCCAAACCAGAGCAGTTCCTGTTTCAACCCAGCCTTCAGCCATGTCCAAGAGAGGATGTTTGTCCTGAGCTAGGGTGTCCCATGGAGAAAGGGGAATAAAGAACAGGTCATAACAACCTCCCATCAGTACGTTTGCTGGCAGGGGGATGCACAGAAGAAATAAATGAATTTTTAAAATGTAGGGGGTAGTTACTTTTCCATTCTCCTCAAGCAAGAGTTTTGTTGAAGTGTTTTCAACTTCTAGCAACCACCAAAGTTAGATATTTCAGCTGGGGCAGGCAGGAGGGCTGGGGATCCCTCCACTTGCCTTGGTGGCAACACTAGGTCCTCATCCCAGCTTGCTGAGAGCCTGACCTGCCTCCACTGACTGCCCCATCCCAACTGTCCCCTGCCCTGCCGTGGCCCTATCCATTGCCAGCCAGCACCTCGGAGCTGGTCCCAGAGCCTGCACCCCATCGCTAAGAGCGATGCCTTCCACTCCCAGCCCACGGTGGTTCTCAGCAGCTTGGAAAACCTGACCCGCAGGGCACTCAGCCCTCCGCCTTGCCCTGGCAGGTTTCCACCACCCCAAGGCATGTGGGGTTTCCCTTAATTGCCATCTACATTTCCTTAGAACTCCTTTCCACTTGCCACAACTCACTGCTGGGGACACAGACTGATCTCCATCTCTCTCTCAAATATTTTGTTTCCAACTTTCATTTGCCCTCCCCACCTCACTGCCTCTGCTTGTCTGCTTTTTAAGCAGACCTTTCCCCAAACCTGCCCAACACCACCCCTCCTTACCCAACTCTTTTCCCATGATTTCTCTTCTGCTAAAGGCAATGTCCACCCAACACCACCCTCCTGCAACACTTGCTACAAACTCACCAAAATCAGGGGAGGGGTAAATTCAAGCCAGAAGGATGAAGGGTCTCAGAGGGAGAAGGTGGGTCTTGGTGGCAGAAGGCTTGCTCTGGGCAGCCAATCCCGACTCAAGGCTGGGTGCAGGCTGGTCTCTGCAGCACTGGAGCCTGGAGCAGCCCAGCCACGTGTGAGTGGCTGCCTGAAACCTGGGTGTCCAGGGGAGCCTTTCCCAGGGGGCAGAGGGGGTCGGGTCCCACCAGCCCTGCTCCTCCCGGCTGCAGGTGTGCAGGGGGTCATGGGACAAGTCCTGGGAATGAGAGCTACTGTCAAGGGCTGGGGATACAAACTCCAGCTGGAGCCGAGCTGCAGATGGATGGACAAATGGATGGATGGACAGATGGATGGATGGATGGAGGGAGCTCAGTGGGTCTGTCTGAAATTGGAGCGAAGTAGGGAGCACGTGTGTGTGTGCACACACTGGTGAGATCCAGGAGTGCAGAAGAGTTCAGAGCAGCACCCAGCACAGGGGCAACGCCAAAAAGCCCCTCTGGCCATGCACCACTGATAACCCTCTAACCCTCCCTCCTCTGGGGACAGTCCCCACGGGGTGCGACATGCAGGGGGTCTTGGTGTGGGGCCATACTCACCCACAGACTCGGGGCAACCCCTGCAGCTCGATGCCATCTGCCTCCTCATACGTGGCCATCTTTTCCCCCAGCTTGAGGACACAGTCCGAGAAGCCTCGGTAAACGTCAGTGCAGGCAGTGCCCAATGCCAGCAGCCCAGCCAGGTGCCCTGCCAGCCACCGAGGGGGTCGGTGTGAGCACCACGACCTTTGGGGACAAAGCCCACCACCCAGGCACGGCGAGCTCCCCCTTCCACGCAGGACGCACACAAACCACACATCACCTCTCACCCGTGCTGAGCCCTGCCTGCGTTTGCAGAGAGCCTGAAAGAGCCACTCTGCCGGGGCAGGGAGCCGATGCGGGGGCAGTCGGCGCCCCCCACCCAGCAGCAGCACCCCCGGCCCGGGGCAGAGGGCAAGGAC